CCCCAAAACCCCAAAACCCCAAAACCCCTAGGTGTGAGTTTATGATTGAACCTTGGTTTAGGAGAAAAATCTTATTGGGTCTTTGACCTTTCTGAAAGATTTTGGATCAGGTTTTTGATGTCTGGACCTAAAGCTATTGTGCAAGCCCCTGTAGTGAGGTTAGATAGTGAGATAAGTGGGAGTCTTGATAAATATTCAAGGGCGGAATTAATTCCGTGATCATTTATGATCTACTCTCCATATTTAAATTTTATTTTTTATGAAAGTTAGCTTTTGTCTACATGGAATATACTAACTCTAATAACATATCTGGATAAAAAGAAAAGGCAGATAGAAAAATTTGGAAAACCTAAGTCCTGTAAAGACCTCAACTCACCAATGACTCCCAAAGCTGCAGCAATGATTTCGATAAGATTTGGCACTTTTCCATTGATAAGAACTTGGAGAATAGTCTGAATGATCACCTGGATATTTGCAAGAGCAAAAACAGGGCCAGCCAGCCCACATGTAACTGCCATGTTCAGAAATACCACACCAATTGCTGTGAGTAGTCCAGAGGCAGCAATTTGAAGATACTCAGAAAGAATAAATGGATGAGACCCATACTCAAATGTAAAAATCATTCAGATTATCAAGATAACATTGGACCAAAAATAGCATGAAATGGTAAGATCAATAGGACAGTAGTTATAATTGTCTGAAAAGTATCTCACAACTAACCCTCCAACTGAGAAGCACACTGGACAAAGTATTCCAAAGAGGATGGATATAAGTGAATAAAAGAAAAGGCTATGGCCACTTTCATCAAGGCCTTCTAACTCACTCTCTTCTTCAGAGCCTATCCCAAGTCCAACTATGCAGAGGATCATAAAGACGATGCCGATTCCCTAAAACTATTAAGAGAAGCTTACATGCCAGATTCTGAGTCTATCTTGGAAAATAAAGTATGCCAACAATGCTGAAAATATCGCAGAAAATGAGAACAGACTAGTCAAGATCCCTTGGTTCATATTAGCATATGTAGCGAATTGAAAGGTAAAAACAACGAGGAACCCTTGTATAACATTAATAAGAGTGTAAACAACAGTCCCAAAGACTTTAATCCAATGAATTCCATCAGTTTCTTGATCTCTGAAGTTGCATGACTCCCAACTCCAGTAGGTTTTCCCTTGATACTTAGATTTGACAATTGAAAATAATAAGAAAATTATGACAAATACCAAAGATCCGTTCTCAGAGACTTCTCTAGCAAGAACCCCAAGATCAGCATGAATTCCAAGGACATAATTTCCCAATGCGAATCAGACTCCAGCAGTAGCAGCAAGCATGATGCTCTTCATCTCTTGTCTGGGTGGCTACAACCTTATTCAGGCCTACTTACTTTCAAAGGATTTTCCCCTTGAACTTGGTCTTTTCCAAGCAAACTCTTTGACAGATCTTCATGGTCAATATTTACATCCTGGTATTTAGTAACACCCATAGATCTAGAGGCTGATTCATTACCACTTACGTAGTTTTGTCGATAGGCTGTGACATATTTGGTTTTAAATTTACTATATCTTTGCTTATATTTAAGCTTTCAGTCCTGGTGAGATGCTCTGGGGTTTTGGGGTTTTGGGGTTTTGGGGTTTTGGGGTTTTGGGG